CACAGAGAGCTTTTACAAACGGAACCTTTCACACACAGAAGTTCTTACACAGAGATGTCTTTACACAGAGAAGCTTTTACACGCAGAAGCTTTTTCACACAGAAGTTTTTACACATCCATGACTGTGTTCAAAAAAGCATAAGGAATATATTTCTGAAGCAGCAGGTCCTCATTCAATAGCTTTCAAGCCCACCCTGCGATGACACCGAGGGTCAAGTAATGCGGCGGAGCCGACGATGAGCGTTAGCTCTAAAATCAGTTGGAGGAGAGCAAGTTTCATCTCGCAAACTAAGCACTTATTTTTTTAGTTTTAATCAACTTGTAGGTGGTTCATCTTAGTTCCAAAAACTTGGGTATGATTCATAAATTGCTGCTCATTTAAATAAAACGACGACCATTTTGAACACAGACAGAGAGAGATGACTTCAAACCAACAATCAGAGGCATGCGGATGAAGGAAGCAGCGACAGAAAGTTGGAAATAATGAGAAATCCAAATTCTAAATTATGGGTTGGTCCAAAATGGCGTCCCCAAAATAGCAAGAGGATATCCTCATTTTGCCTATAAACATGGCAAAATCTTTGGAGCACCCATTTCCACACACCCATATCTCTGGGTGAAGCTGAAGCGGCCTGAGTCAGCAGCTTCGCCCCTGGCACGTCTTTGTGACCCCTTGTTCAATCTAAAATTGAACTGTTTTTCTCAACCAACCGCTTGGATTTTCAATGATTTCTGTTGATTTGGATGGCTTTAGATACTTGTAGGACGTCTTTGCACTGGAAGAGGTGCCACTTAAAAGTATTTATACAAGCCTTGCTGCTGAGAGGACAGCTAAACTTGGAAGACAAAGCCCAATGTTTTCAACATGCTTGACTCAGCAAACTTGGAGATCTTGTCAAATCCCATTTCTGTGAACAGAACTCGATCCGACTTATCCTGCAACTTGTTCGTGGGTGTGGCTGAAGATTGGGATACCTACTTTCAACGGACACTTAAAAGCCCAGGATCATTCTTAGGCTCACTAGTTCTGAACAAAAAAATACCTATGATGAAAAAAGGCTTAGATGTGGTCTGGTTAATCACTCTTAGCTTTACCTCAGAGAAAAAAATCTTCGCTAGTCCATCCATGCTCCGGCCCCATGTCCATTCTGAAGTGGCCTGGCACTTGGCTCTGCCACCTGTCAGCGCACCGGCAACACCACGCGGAAATTGAGCAACGCAAAGTGGAGATTAAGCAACAAAGGTGGAGATTGAAGAAAACTGATGGGTCAACAAATAAAAACTGGCAACAAGACAAGCAACTTGACAAACACTTGACATCCGAATGGGGAGGCCGGCTACTGGTCTTTTTGGGCATACGGCCAACAGTAAGGCCTCGAGTTGAGCCCCTTGCAGACTTGGCAAGCTCGACAGGGAGCCTGGCACCGAATCTGAAATTTGCGCAGGCAAAAAATATATCCAGATAAAACTGTCCAATCTTTCGTGTCTACCCGAACTTATTGTAATTTGAATGGGAAACGCGAGGTTCAATGGAAGACATTTGCTCGAGACTTGGCGCCCTCCTGCCTGCAAGTGGCACTGGGGCGTCCTCAGGCGCAACAAAACAGAGATGAGTTGGTCTAGAATGGAGGGGATACCCCAGCATTGCAACTAATTTCAATCAGGAAAATGACGGGCACAACCACATGGGATTTAGGGATACCCCCTCTTTTAGACAAACCCTGAACTTTGCTCCTGTGCCCACCAAAAGAGTCACATTTCGTTCAATGCCAACATTCACGTGCCGAGGAATCACAGCATGTAAGAGTACTAGAACTGTAGAGAATAAATTGTAATTAAACCACGCAGCCAACAAATGACTGCATGAACAAATGAATGGCAAACTGAGCATGCTAAGAAATACTATGTTGGGATGGCACATGCTTCCACATTGAACATACTGAACAGAGTGTCCCACCATGACTGCGGTGCTTATGGGGCCAGGTCCTTCTTCGCCACAAAACATCTGAAACTGGGTAGTCAAAAAAAAACATCAAGATATATTGGGAAGCATAACTTAGCGCGTCAGCTCAACACGATAATCTTGGGACATGTTTAGATACCACATTTTTCACATATCGCAGCGTATCCTCCCTCTCCAACCCCTCCAATCTCCATCCGTCCTCAGGGATGATGCTCAGGAAGGGAAAACATTCCAAGGCTTTCCTTCGCGTCTCTTGTCGCACCGTGACCGGCGCACCGCCGAAGAGGAAGGAATAACCTCAGCTGGGCGGATCGGATGGGGTGTCGGCTCTCATGTTTTGTAGTGAAGGATATGTTTTTCCTTCAGTAGCTTCTCATCATGAAAGTTTGTTTATCACACTCTCAGGTTCGAAATGACGGCCGCAATTGCAGGTGGTAAGTGGTAGAAAAATAACGCTGGGTCTACCAGGTGCTCAATCCGTAAGCTCCTGAGCAATGAGGTGGGTCAGCATGAAGGGCAATGAGCTTGCCTCTTTCCAATTGGTACTTCATCTTGGGCTTTTGTTCCAACAAGCTATATAACAAGCGCGACTAATTAAGAATTGGAGAACTGGCTAGCTTGATAATCGGGTATTAAGGTTCCATCAGACCATGCCAATCATCAATCTCGATCAATTACAATCATTCATCAACCTAAAACAAGGTCACTTTGGGTTCAATCGTGACAACTCTCTCAGACCATTCATAGCACCTATACAGGGCCTATACATTGTAAATTTTATTATGATATAATATACAATTAATTAACAATCATCATATTTATATATGTATACATGTACATATTTCATGTATTATATATATACTATACACTATCAATAGATATTTTCCGCCAGCACCGATTCACCACAGAGATGCAGTCAAGACACTGGCTGGTACCTTAAATCGACCACAGGATGGTATGGTTTCCCTTTTCCAAATCGACCACTGCCAGGAAGGTTTTTGCCAAGGCAAGAGTACTGTAATCCGAAGCTAAGGATATGCGTCAACACATGCTAATTATCCTACTTCTACTTGTGTTCCGCATATCTCTGCTAGCCCATTTTGTCGCCAGGCTTTCATAGCCGCATTGCGTGCATTCTATGTCTCGCAAACAAGCGAGTACACCCGCCCAATTGACCTTTTGTTGTCATGCCAACATCCAGCAAAGATGGATATCAGCACAGCACACAAGATCCAACAACACAAAACTTGACAAGCTTCATAAACTGCAGATTCATTGCACGCAAAAGACTGCCCCCATTAGATCTTCAATCCTGGGTTTGAAAAAAGGCCAATTGCAAGGACAACTCCAAGCTGCTCCAGGAATTTCCTCAGTGCAAGTCTGGATTTGGCTCAAATGGCATCAACAACCGACATTATGCAAAAACTGGCAATGTGTCAAGCTCGGCAAAATTCTGCAAATGTTGTAGTCACACACCGAAGCTGATCCGTAAATGCCATCCAGCAACCATCCAAATGATCCCATTCCTCACGCCAATGGTCTCTTCAGTCGGTTTGCCAGACAAGCTTGTGCAATGGTCATTTGCAAAAACAGAAAACAGAACCATTTGATTCATCAGAGACGATTAGCCGATGATTAGCCCCTGGAATTGTGGTACCCAAAAAGTGATTGTCCAACTTCCGCAGCCCCGTGAAACCCGTCAATCCCTTGGAGCAACGTCTGCCGTGTGTCATCTTCTTGAATGCTCTGTCGAACATCTGCCAGGGTCGAGGACTCGTTCACCTGGGGTTGGACTCCTGGGATTGGGTGGGTAATCACTGCTGGGTGTAACAAAAAATGCGTTCACACATCAACTGAGCACTGGCTGCAGAAACAAATTACTGTCATGGTAGCCAGAAGCTTCTTGTATCAAGTGCCTTTTGACTTGCAGACTAGAAATGATGCTGCTGGCTGCAAGTTTCAGGCATCGTTCAGAGACAGGCTGAGGAAACTTGGGAATCATTAAGAACAAGTTTGGGGCATTAAGGAAGCTTGGTCATCTGGTCCAGTGGCAAAAGGGTATATCGAAATAGTCATAACATTCCAAGTGTGGTGAATCCCCAAAACGTCATTGTCTCAAAAGTGTGTTTTTCCCTTCCAAAACCAATTTCGGGCGATAATATAACAGGTTTTTGAAGTCCACCAGATTTTACCATATATCACATGGTACAGTAAAGTTGCATCCCCTCTTAGAGGCACCTCCAACTCTCCCTGATGCACCTCAACACCACCAAGCGCACGCTCGTTCAAGCAAATTCCTGGCAGCGACTTCTTCGAACCCTAAACGCAGGCTCCTAACATGGGGGCATATCAGAACCCATTGACCCGTTGACCCGTTGGTTCGCCGGCCAAAACAGACCATGTTGGTGGACGTGAGGGAGGTGAGTACGTACCGTTTTCAAGCCATTGAAGATTGCTCATTTTGACGTTCCAAGGCTACCCAATGGATCAAGATCCATATTGTTATAGCCAACACTCCCAATTGATCAAGATTGAGTTCGCAACTCTTCACGATTCTATTATATCTATCAGAAATAGATTAGTAGAGAATTACTTCAATCCAAAATGTGGTAACCAATCAGAAAGACTCCATATAATTCTGCTATATCATTATATTTTTGTTGGATAAATACTACATACATTCACATATGGTATATCTATTTGGATATCGCGTGTTCATTCTACATGTTCAATCGAATAATTCTATATATTATATCAGGGTACTATCACTATGTATCACCATTATAAATCAGTTCAAAGTGCTATATCACCATTAGTCAGTAACTATATCTATATGGAACTATATCACCATTTGAAAAAATTCGTTCCATCCATGGTTTTTGGCCACGCCACTCAGTAGCCGCAGAGGCGGCGCCGCCGTGGCGCCCCGCGGAGTCGTGCTGCGGCGTTCCGCGAGCCGGCGCTCGGGGCCGCCTGGTGATCTTCAGCCATTTTAGCTATGTTGAACCAAGAGTGTTTTAACCTGTTTCAAATGGTGTCATACCAAAAAAAAGTAGTTGTGATTTCTTGCTTGTTTTGAATAAGGCATTAAACCGGACAGGGTCTGTGTCGGCCGCGGTGAGTCGGCCGGCGGGGTGGGCGCGTCGGCCGCGGCTGGGTGTGCTTGTCGGCCGGCGCCAAGTGCCGTGTCGGCCGGCGCCAGGTGGCGTGTCGGCCGGCGCCAAGTACCGGGTCGGCCGGCGCCAAGTACCGTGTCGGCCGCGGAGGGGCTGTGTCGGACGGCGGCACTTGAGTCGGCCGCAGGGCTTCTGTGTCGGACGGCGAGGCGGCTCGCGCAGGGCTTCCACAAAGGCGGAAAAAAGATCCCAGCGCTAACTTAGCAAACTAAAATCTGTGTGTCGAAACTGGCGTGTCTGTGTCGGCCGCGGGGCTTCTGTGTCGGCCGCCGAGGTGCTGTGTCGGACGGCGGCGCTTGAGTCGGCCGCGGGGCTCCTGTGTCGGACGGCGGGGCTCCAGGGCTTCCACAAAGATCACAAGGCAGGAAAAAAGACCCCAGCGCTGGCTTAACAAACTAAGGTCTGTGTGTCGAAACTGGCATGTCTGTGTCGGCCGTGGGGCTTCTGTGTCTGTCGGCCATGTGTCGGACGGCGGCACTCGGCCGCCGCGGGGCTGTGTCGGACGGCGGCGCTTGAGTCGGCCGCGGGGCTCCTGTGTCGGACGGCGGGGCTCCAGGGCTTCCACAAGGATCACAAGGCAGGAAAAAAGATCCCAGCGCTAACTTAGCAATCTATAAGGTCTGTGTGTCGAAACTGGCACGTCTGTGTCGGACGTGGGGCTTCTGTGTCGGCCGCCGACGGGCTGTGTCGGACGGCGGCACTTGAGTCGGCCGCGGGGCTTCTGTGTCGGCCGCGGGGCTCCTGTATCGGACGGTAGGGCGGCGCATCCAGGGCTTAGGAAGGAAAAAAGATCCCAGCGCTAACTTTGCAAAGCGAGGTCTGCAATTCGAAACTGGCATGTCTGTGTCGGCCGCGGGCCTTCTGTGTCGGCCGTCGGAGGCTGTGTCGGACGGCGCGTCCCGGGCTTCCACAAGCGTCAAGACCGGCTCAAACCCCACCTTCCCCCCCACCCCCTTCCCACCCCCCAAAAAATTAATCACACGGTCATGAATCGACAATGTTGTGAAACCTTTCAAGCATCTTGCAGCGTGCCAACTAGCTTGCAACGTCACAACATCTTCTAAATGTCCCATCATTTGCAAGTTACAAGAGAAAGTTCGGAGCATAGCGTCAAGACCAGCTCAAAGGTGACTTAAAAAGTTCAGAGCGGAGCATCTATTCACACGGTCATTCGTCGACAATGTTATGAAACGTTTCAAGCATCTTGCAACGTGCCAAGCATCTTGCGACGTGCCAACTACCTTGCAACGTTAAACATATTGATAAATGTGCCATATTACAAGTTACAAGAGAAAATTCGGAGCATAGCGTCAAGACCCGGTCAAAAAGTGCCTTGCAAAGTTCAGGCGGAGAATCAAGACCGTTACAAGACTGCATGTTTTGACTAGCGTGTTGGACAAAAGTTCCCCCCACCTCCCCCCCACCCCACCTTCCCCCCCACCTCCCCACTCCCCACCCCAAAAATAATCACACGGTCATTCGTCGACAATGTTGTGAAACGTTTCAAGCATCTTGCAACGTGCCAAGCATCTTGCGACGTGCCAACTACCTTGCAACGTCACAACATCTTCTAAATGTGCCATAATTTACAAGTTACCAGTAGTACCGCACAAGGCGGTGGCGGAAGTTTCAAAAATAGGAAACCTATAGGAGAGATTGATTGTTGTGAATCACGGATGGCAGAGCGAATCCACTGATTGACCGAAAGGTGGTTGGAGTTGTGTTTGCTGGAATGGTTGCAATGGTTGCAGCGGTCACCTCACCCACAACTGCTGGATGTAGTGTGATGTACTGCAACTGTAGTTGTAGTTGTAGCGTAGTGGAGTTGTAGTTGTGGTGTAATGTAATTAGTGTAGTGTAGTTGCAGTCATATGGTTGTAGCTGTAGTTGTTTTGTAGTTGTAGTTGT